TGAGGTTGTATACATATGAGACTATTTGCCATTGTTACAAGGATGTCACACTCATTTCTAGTTATTGGATGTCAAATTTGATGGTCTGATGTGTCACAAGCTCAAAAAATTTCTTTTATAAACATGAAGTCTAGTCAATGATACAACTACTTGTTTTAAAATCTGATGGATAAAAGTGATTGTGACCTCATTGTACTAAAAGTAAATAGTCTATTTACTTTTAGTACAAAAAGATCACATTCACTTGTGCCCTTTATATTCAAAATTGGGTGGTTGTGAACATCTCATTGATTAGCCTCAAAATTTAAAACAAAACTTTTTGAACTTTGTGACACACTTCAAGTCATCCAATTTGACATTTAATGATTAGGAGGTTGGGGCCTCCTTGAATGAAAGATAAATAGTGTCATGTTATACAAACTGTTGACACGAGAGTGAACTGAGAATAGAGGAAAATAAATAGTGCTACAATGAGTTGACATGAGAGTGAGTGAGCATAGAGGAAAATAATAGTGCTACCTAGGAATCAGACTTAAGCTTGAGTCATTAGCTGTTGATGTTAGCAATGTTGCATCTCAAGATTGATTCCTACCACTAAGCTACCCATAAATACACAAGAAAAATAGTACTGCCATTAAGAAAAAGGTATGTTTTGATCAATAATGCCACAAAAATCTTTGGTCACGAGCATCGAGAGTGTAACCTACTACTCGGTTCATGTTATCTTCTAGTGGGTCCCAATTTCTCTCCAACACCACCATCCCGTTGATTGTACGGCGATGACAAATATGACTACAAATTTTCTATAGTCATATGGATCTTCGAATAAGACAAACTAGGGCTACCGATCGGGCCAACCAGGAGTGGGTCTGCCTTCCCTCGTAAAGTCCAAGCCCAGTCTTCAACTTGATATCACCAAATCACACCTAGGGCTGCCAATTGGGCCAAACAAGGTTGGTGTTCAGACCTGGGCCATGCTAATAAAGCTTTGGCCAAGGCTTGAATCCAGCCTATTGGCTACCTCCATAAGTGTAAGGCAGCTAATTGAGCCGGTTGGCCGGCGGGCTTCAACAGGCCCTATGGCCAATCCTCTTAGCACTACAGGCTAGTTTTGAGCCTTGCCTAGTTAAAACAATTTGAGCTCAAGCCTACTACCCTGGCCCAAGGGATAGAAGTGGGCTGCGGCTTGGGCCTAACCAGACAAGCAAAAACCCTGGTCCGGCCCAATGAAAAGGATCAGACCATGCCTAAGCCCTTCCTTTAAATTTGGCTGAGCAAGACCGAGCCAAGAACTGCGCAGGCCAAGCCAACCATAATCTGCCTGGCCCTACAATCCAGGCATGCTAGGCCACTTCCACCCTTAACCGGTCCAGCCATGCCCAGCCCTATTGGCTATAGAAGTTCATGTGGAGAGAGACATTCCTTATCATTAGGAGCACATTTCTCAACATACAAAGAATTCCATGGCCGTATCATATCGTATTAGTCTCAAGGCCAAAACACCAGTTTAGGGGGTTTCGTTTGATCGCAGAACTCAAATCATTTTTATTGATCTCCAGATATCAATTCACTTAAAAAGAATACTATGGGACTCAAAGGTACTTCTGATCAATACCTCCTCCCTCAGTGACTCTAGATCGCCTAGGTAATTAGATCCGGGCTTTAGGAATTCATTTTGTTCATTTTCGAAACTGTCCACTAGTTGGATTGAACAAGAACGCCAAAGTTTCGGGTCAGAGAAATTCCTCAAACAAGGTTCTTTGCCCGACATCTTTTGCCATGCGGATCACGTGTACATTTTCATACCGCGGGATTATGCTAGCAGCACCCTATTTAATATACATCAAAGATTCATGAACATATGCAGCAAAACCCAAATGTTGATGTTATTCTTCAAGTAATTCAATATAGTAGCAAAGTCCAATGGTATGTTATGTATGAATTGAAGAGCAAAATAAACTATGAACCAAAAAGGACAAGGAATTGGACAGTAGGAATTTAGTTCATACAGTGATGTAAGGTTGAAGATCTAGCGTTTATGCCCGACATGCCGGCTCGGCTTGCTCCTCACTTCGCTGACAGAGATTGGCTTCATTACACAGTAACCAGGCCTAGAGCCCGATCCAGAGCCCTTTTTACCAGCCTGCACACCAACAGGCCTTCTCTCTAAGTTAGTATTTCTAGGTCTAGAGAAACTTTCTCTCTTAGCACAGTTTGAGTACAGGCCTCCATGAGCTTTTGCTCCCCCACTGTTTCTAGCTAACGGCACCGGCATGACCTCCAAACCCATCAACTTAGCTACCACCCCTGGCTTGCACCAACCCGCCACATCTTTTGCTGCCAAATTTGGAGGCAAACCCCTGTTTCTCTCCATTTCAGCACCCCAATTATCCCTACCAAAATCTCCTCTAAACCTACTGGCATTTCTTGCCGCTAAATTTGATGACAACCCCCTTCTCCCCTCCATATCAGCCCCATAATCATCCCTACCGAACCCGCCTCCCCTGAATCTGTCTTTACCGGTACAACAAACCGATCGCCTAGGAGGAAGCTCGGCCACAGGGCTCCACCTCACTTCCCTTGCCAAATTTGGTGGCAACTTCTGGAAGGATGAGTGGTAAAGAGAGTCGCGGCCATCTAGAGAGAAGCGGGGGTATTGATTCAAGGCGTTTCTAGCAGAGTTTAGAATATCGGAATTATTCACACATGACATTCTCCTAAGACCACAACATGTTTCTTCTCCGAAGCCCCGCCAGTTCCAATTTGGCTGGTATTTGGCTGCTTTAGCGGCGGCCTCCTCTTCATCTAACCTCGCTATCATCTGCTCTAAAGTTGGTGGACTTTCAGCTAGACTGTCGCCATAGGCCGCCGAGTACTCATAGCATGAGCCCATGAGAGATGGGGCGACCAAACAAGAGATGTCATCAGTTTTGTTCTGGTTAAGGATGGATGTTGAATCGGATCCATTGCAGAAGGACCTCAGACCTCGCTTCATCTTAGCTGCAAGGGAGTTCTTAAGGAGAAAGAGAGACAAGTCTTTCATGGAGGTCCTAGAAACTGATCCACAGGGTAATGGAGCATGCCCATATATCATTTATATGTGCCATGAGAAACATCAGAAAGGAGTCATGCAATAGAACGTGTGTTGAGATAAGGGAGTAAAAGGAGTCATGCATGAAAAACAGGAGGGAGAGAGAGAGAGAAACGTGAAAGGAGTGAATGAAGCGGTGGGGTTGTTAGTTAAAGAGAGAGAGAGAGAGAGAGCACTGCAGTCATGTGACTGTCACAAGGCCCCCCTCTGAAAAGGCTCCCAACAGCATTCACATCTTGCATTAAATCCAATTTACATCCCATTTACATCCACAAGAAGCTGAGCCCATGCCAATACGATGCAAATATTCTTAAAAATAAAATGAAAATTTATCAAAATATGCCTCGTATCAAAATACGCCTAACTTTTGGACAATGCAACAGTTTACTCTTTTGGGGATGATACTCTTTTGGGGATGATAGTGGAAAAGTTAACAAATAAATCACCATTGCTGTCACTCTACAGGTTGTTGTTTTAAGGTCCATCTATTCACTCGTCCAGAAGTAGAAGACGATGGGAGTACGAATATAATACAAGAATAATATGCTAGACGTGCCCAATTAGTTGAGATTTACTCATTTCCCTATTTTGTCCCGATCCCCCTTTTCTTCCGAACAAAAAACAAAAAAGGGAAGGGTCATGTACACCCTTGAGGGGTACTTTGATATTAAATCAAAAGATATAGGTAAAATGTTAAATAGTTGATTCAACTTGCTAAATTTCCCAAATAAAAATTTGGTTCCAAATATGTTGACAACTAATATGAGGGAAAGTATTTTAGTATCTTGTGAAGCCTTTCTCCTCAAATCCAACCAAAAAAATGCAATAACCATATTGTGAAACCCAAATTGTTCTTCTTTGTCTCAATGATAGATCATTTATGTACCAATTGTGGTGAGCCTGATAAGAAAATAGATTTTAACCGCTAAAAATAGTCCATTTTGTAACATATTGTTTGGACAGTTTGTTTTAAACTTTCACAATTATCTAGCACTAATATTTTTGGAACTTCAAATTTGACACACACGAAGGGAAATGGATTTGGCCACAAACGTATTATCATTTGAGATGTAGGCTTGCCAAATTTCGTTAAGCCTTGACCCTACCAAATCTCACCATAGATCAAACATCACCCCAAAGTCAATCAACAAGAAATTAGGGGTATTTTTGTCATTCTAAAATAGCCAATTTGAAATATAAATATAACTTTTCTAGGAATAACTTGTATACATTCAAGAATCCAAGAATCCATATGGGTTACAATGAGACCATTTACTTTTAATACACAGAGATTGCAATTATCATCCCTTGTTAAATTTAAGATCGGGTGATTAATGGCAAGTCATTGTTTAGGCACAAAGTCCAAAACAAAATATCTAGAATGTAATGATACGATTTCATCTATTGGATTTCATATCCAATTGTTAAAAGTGATTGTGCCTTCTTTGTACAAAAAATAAATGGTCTCATAGTATACAATCCCTTTTTTGTCCAATAAATTAACAACGGGAATTGAAGATGAATCGTTACGTTGAGAAATCAACCCCCGTAATTACAAATGCACCCAACCCCATTGCACAATAAATGTGTGTATTCGCACAAAATATCCTCAATCACGAAGACAATTTCATGTCCTTGGCAAAGGTTACAAAATACCCCACCATCACTAACATGAACCAGAAGAAAAGAACCTCACGGCCAAATTGATGAGTCCAGCAGTCACCCTAATTTAAGGGCAAGCCAAGACCCAAGGGTTGCACTGATTAGTCCCAAAAAATACAAAATCCATCTAGGTTTGGTCTAAATCATATAGTGGAAAAATATACAAAAGACATTTCTCTTCTAGTGCAAGGAAGTTACAATCACTATCGTCCATCAGATTTCAAATTTGTGAATGTATATTTGATTAGACTCAAAGTCCAAATAATAGTTTCTTGAGCTTCAAAACAGCATCAAGCTATCCAATTGGACATCTAATGGCTACAAATAATTGTGACCTCCTTATATTAAAGATAAATGATCTCATAGTATACAATCTCTTATATAATAAAAGGGAATACACAATAAAGTCTTTACCTTCCGGCAAGAAAGTCACCATCACCCTAAATTGTCATATGAGAAATCATGCAGCAAATGATGTACCATTGACCTGCTCTAATCGAAGAAAAATGACATATCTCCACCACCCAATTGATATGAAGGTTTGTAACTTTTGTACACAAAACGTGACGATCTCATAAGCATCATCTTCATCATTAGAGCTTTTTTCCAACTATTTGAGATCAAGAATTCTACACCGCCACTCTGCTCTATATAGGGTGCCATAAATCTATATATTTTCTCACTACTTCCAACCTAACCCACTTAAATCTACTTTCTCTCATCTTATTGCCTATTAAGGTCACACCTAAGTTATTCATTTCAAATTCTATCTCATCTCATGGCATACAATCCTTAAAAAATATAGCATAGATTCTAAACTACTTTTATGAAATCAAACATTAAAAAACAGCTTCTAATTCGTTGAATGTATTACTTATATCATCTTACATGTAATTTCCAACGCACAAGCTGCCATATCTTAAGACTCAACACAATAAAAACTCAAAATAACAATACAAAATCTTCTAATACGGGGATCCCCGTATCTTGCTGCCATAATTAGTTAATGGCGAGTATACATGAGCCATAGTAAATGGTGAATATAAATCACAAAAAAAAACTCATACATCTTATAATCTATGGATAATGGACAACCATAGTGACCATCCAATGAAATAATGGGTGGTAATGGCAACACTAAGATCTGCTAGAATAGGGCATGACCCCAGTGGTGGGTCCCACTCTCCTTCTCTTACTCCCAATAATGACCCTCAGTCGACTATGATTTTCCATAATCCATTGGATCATAGTATACTATCTCATAAAAATATATTGTTAAGGAGTACCTATTTATCAATCAGCAGCCCATTAGCTAGTTAGCAAATTGCAATGAACACAAACCATTTCTGCCAATCTTTACTTGGATGATTTACCCTTAAAAGAGAAATGCCTTTTAAACCGGTTCTTGATAATTGACTTACTTCCGCTACTCTGTCCTGGATTATGCAGGGACCTATTCCTCCTCCAACCCCCTTCGAAATGACCTGAACCCTTATCAGAGCTCTCTATATCTCTGATCATAAGCTTGGATCTCACGTGTCTTTCTTCCAAAATTGAGGAGCAACCTTCAGAACCATCCAGAGTCTTCATGCACAAAGGGCAAGGCGGGTCTTGGTCTTCTTCCGACTTGGGGGTGGTCTTCTCTAAGCAATCAGCATGGAAAACATGGCCACAGGAGAGGACCCCAGTGACTGGAATTTCAGGGCTCCTAAGGTTAGGATTAAAATTCCATGCAGATTTTTGTCTCAAAAGCCTATCACACAAGCCACACTTGTGGTCCTCAGTTGGGGCAGATGTTGTGTTCTCTAAAATTGAGCGATCAATGAAATCCATGCTCTCTCTCTCTAAACCCAACTCAAAACTATTGGGGCTATACCACCTGAAACCTTCTCTTTGAGAGCTAGATGTGCTTGGGCCTGGTGAAGCTTGCATCTTCGGAAGCTCGGTGGAGGCTGTATGGAACCTCAAATCAGGGCTTGGAGTCATATGCATTCTGTCTCTCTCGAAACTGAATTCAAAACTACTTGGGCTACTCCACCTGAACCCATCTCTTTGAGAACTAGGGCTAGGGTCTGGTGAAGCCTGCATCTTATGAAGTTCATTAGAAGTAGTTTGAAAATTAAAATCGGGGCTTGGGGTGGCATCAGCCCAGTAAGTTGAGGCTCCATTCTCGTTTGGTGTCAACCTGCTACTATTGCTTGGGTTTGATGATTCAAGAGCCTCTTCACCATCTGAAATTTGGTTTTGAAACACGAGCGGGTACACGGGTTTTGACCTGAAAGAACGCCGAGTAGAGAAGTTTTGTCGTTTGAGAGAAGGTTCAAAAGGCCCCGCATCAGATTGTGGCGATGTGGTATTCGAAATGTTGAATGAAGCTTGTATGCCTAAAGAGGCTGAACCCTAAAAGCCAAAAGATTCACAAACCAATTCATGTTCTGATGGAGGAAAGTTAAACTAGCATCAATTAGGGGTGATATTGGGGTCAAGTTGACCCATCCGGCAGTACATGCCAAGTGGACCCTGAGGGTTGGGTCCAAGTACACTTGATACTTGAACTGGACCCGACTGGGTCAGGATACAGCCCAGACCTCCGTGTGTGTGTGTGTATATTTGTTTGTCTGAGTACACACCCAGATCCGGCCCACCGAGTCAGGTCAGTGTCTTACCTGGACCTGCTGGGTTGTGGTCAACCCCAAACTGGACCAGTTTACATCCCTATCCCTAGCATCATTCACATGGCTAGATGACAAAATGTATAATGGGAAGTAAACCATAACAAAATGGACTATGAAGGACTACAGTTCCTTGCCATCATCATCCAATTAAATGATGGATGGTGAGTGATAGAGAGTTGGACCATATAATTATGGATGGTCATACAAATAGAAGAGGACTGACACTGGGGCCATGTTCCTGTTCTGGTGGATCCCACTATCCCTCTCTATGATCATCCATCGTGCCTTGGATAGTGATGACCCCAATGGACTGCAGCTTTCCACACAGCATTGATTGATACTATAATTTCCCAAAGAATATTACCTCGGTATATGGTGGATGCAAGGCCATGTGAGGCCTCAAATCTGATAACATACAAGGAACTTCAAGTTAGAAGGATTTTAAACAAATAATGGCATACATTATAGAAAATACTGCTGAAAGCAAATAGTGACATGGACAAATTCACAAACCATGGTACGAAAACAAAGATCTTCTATGAGAAAATCCATAAGATAGGGAAGGAAGCCATATTACAACACACAAGAACCACAGAAGAATGACCACCAATAGATTTTATTTGTTGAAATAACCATAGGCAATCACAATTTGACCAAAAATTAAAGCATAACCCATCACAATGAATCTCTATATTTATAAGTTATAACTTGTAGCTTGAATGACTCCATAAAATAGGCATGACAATTGCACTCATTAGCAATCAAAATTGTCATACATTTAACTTAGTCTTCACGAAAAAATATTGAATGACTGATTCAAAATATGTGAGGTTATGCATCATTAACAGGTGCAAATAAAGTTGTTGAACAAGCACATAAGAGAAGAGTTTTGTTAAACAACTTGTTAATGGAGTGAGATAAATTTGTAAGTTTAGAGCATACATGTTTGCAAATATACATGGGTAAGACACTTATGGTTACGACCTAGGGCGTAAGGTACTTAACAATAATATCCAATGTTCAAACCCCAATTTACAGCTCCAATTGACCTTGCTAGAAAAAAAAACTAGCTTATTAAAAGTAAAATAAAATATATACCCTGCTGAACCCGGAACCTACCAAGGGGGGGGAGGGGATACGGGGGAGATTTCTTTGCAAAAAATTGTGATTTCTTTGCAATTGTTGGTCAATTTTTATGAATTTGATCCCTTAGCCTACTTATGGGTTCTTCATCCAATCACAAACCTATTTCCCAAAAAATAATAATTATTATTATAATAATAATAATCATCATCACCCTCAAAGCCTTTTTCCAACTATTTGGGGTTGGCTACTCGAATCTTGGTCCACCATTCTGCTCATAAATCCCCATAACTTTTATCACTACTTTCAACAATGTCCTTTTGGGTCTTCCCCTTGCCCTTTTGAGCCCTCCACTTGAACTAACTCACACATACTACCATGTGACGTACTGGGTCTGCACTGCACATGGCCAGCCCACCTAAGTCTACTTTCTCCCATATTATTGCCTATTTGGTCCACACCTAAGTTCTTTTCAAATATTCTTTTCGAATTCTATACATTCTTGTCTTGTCACGCATCCATCTCAGCATCCTCATCTCGGCTACACTAATCCTATGGGTATGGTGCTTCTTGACCACCCAACAGTCCGCCCAATAAAGCAAAGTTGGTCTCACAGCTGTCCTATAAAACTTACCCTTCAGTTTCATTCGTATGCAGCAATCATATAAAACTCGGATTGCACATCTTGCTATGTGCGACATCTTCCTCAAGTTCTTCTGGATTATCAACACAAGATATCGAAAGTGTGCTCTTTTTGGTCTTTCTTGACTGTCAATCTTAACTATTTCCTTGTCTCTACTCCTATTATTACTAAATTTGCATTCCATATACTGTGTCTCTACTCCTATTAATACTAATAATAATCAAATTTTTGATATTTTAAGGTTTGTATTCACTAAAAAAATTTAAGAGCTTGGATCCCCTAGATCCGAAATCGAAACCCAAACCAATTTGGGGTTCGATTGAGGTTGTCTAAGGAAGTTTTGTCTAGGATTTGAGGCATTGATTTGCATCAAGCGCTAAGATCAAGGAAGCAAGATTTCTACTCAATTTTGAATAATTTTCAAAACATTTACTTTAAATTCATCAAATTAGTATTATTTTTCCATTTTTATTTTTTTATTTTCTATTTTTACTATTTTTGAGGATTTTTAAAAAAAAAATTTATGAGGCCTCTCTCAAGCTCGCTACGGACTCGGCTAGCAACACAGACACACCTGGAGTACCTCAACCAGGCAAGGGGTCAAGCTCCATGGCAAAGCCAAGTTGCAAAACTCTGGTGCAAACAAACAAGAAAACATGCACTCCAAGGCTTGGTGACCTTGCCTTAAGGAAAAAACTAGTCATTGTCATATACTCGACTTAAACAAAATGTTAGAGAACATTCCTAAATCATATATGTTAGTGCACAATATACTCTTCCATATATTAAGAATACAATGGATGACTATCAACGTGCCAAATACGATATACCCTCTATACCATTGTCTTGGAGTTCAGGAAATGTTGAGCCATGTTCCCGCTCCCTCTAACATAAATGATGCATGCATGGGCTCAAGTGTATACATCTAACACATATAACTCTACGCAAATCAACCAAATTAAGTATGCTACTCATTAGTATGTCAATACTAACTAACATACATATAAAATAATGGGACCTGGTCTGCACAAGCGAATCAGCATGCCCATTTCAACAGCCACATTAACCAGTTAAAACATGGTTCTAAAACACCAGTACATACCAAAGAACTCACTATTTTAAGTTAGTAGCAATGCAAGCAATAAATCATCATCAACTCATGTGTGTGCACGAGCATATTAGCAAATAGAAAGGCACAGTTAGCAAGCATCAGTGCACCAAATCCCACGAAGACTATGCCACAATCTTCTGAAAGATCAATACTATGGTGGGGCGTCTCATGGAAGCCCTTGTACCACATCACTTGTAAAATATCCATGTATATGCCATTGATATTTGTATGCAAAGCAGTGAATAAAAGCTGATGAGACTTAGAACTCACCAAGTCAACTCGAATCGCCCATTGGAAGATTTTTATAAATGAAAAACAGGGTGTGAGAGAGTATATGGTTATATGTAACCTTTTATGTAACATTAACATATAGATGGCAAGTCCAATATGGTGGCAATGAATTTTGAATTGGTGACAAGGTGGGTTAGAATTCCACCATAGGCACAAATGTCTTTTCTTCGTTCTTTAAAGGGAAATTTATTAAAATACCTATGAGAGAACTGTCCGACATTTTAACCACATACTTTGATTTAAGTAAAAGGAAACATGATCATAAGGAGTCAACTCAGTTTTGATAGGTTTTGATAGGGACCAAATCAGCAACTGAGATCAAATTTTAGAACACTAAAGTATTCACAAATTAAGGAACATGCTCAGGGATATATGGCATGATTCAATAAGAGCACCAAATTCGTGCAACTTGCTATTATCTCGTTGAGATGAGAGCGTGGCTTGTTATCTCTTATGGCATTTGTTAAAAATCTAACAGAAATACATAACCATGCCAGAGAGTGTAATTTAAGACTATAAACATAAGTGGAATAGCCAATGACTAGACCACTCTACAGAGTATGGAGAAGTAAACAAAGAACAATCAAATAATAATAACAAACAAAGAACGATTAAAAGGAATTCTTGAAGTCCATAAATCGGCCATATCTGCTCCATTAGTGATGCTAGTACAGTAGCATCTCCAGCGTTGAAACCAACAGATAGATCCCGATTTTTTTTTGAGTTTTTTTTTTGTAATGATTAATCAGTAGTTTGTTGGCGCAAGGAGGAAACAAAATTGCAATGAACATAGAAACGTACTGTAAGGTTGACAAACATCCGCACAACAACACTCAACTGCCCCAAAATAGAGCAGCATTATCAGAGAAAAAGATTCACCATGATTGGCACCTCGAAAAGGTGGAGTCCACATATGGGTTTGGTAAGTGTATGATGGGCTACCAAAATATGACACAGCACCATCAGACACCGAATGATGGTGATTGTAATGTTGGTCACTGCTCTCTATGCTTCTGCTTCCTTTATTATGTGAGGAGAATGAGGAGCCTTGCGGTTGAGCACCATGAGATCTTGGTTGTAAAGCATCAGAATGAAACCTACAATCCCATGTCCTTGTACGAGGCGGCGAAAAACTCAAACTTGTTTGCTGATGGGAGTCATTGGGATCCATTGGCCTTTCTCGCCTGCAATTATTTGATGACGCACGTGGCCTTGCGGCCACACAACAGAACGCCCCCGTCTTAGCTATTTTCTAAAGCACGTCGAAGCAAGTGGCGGCAATTTCAGATGCCTTCACAAATTATACCTTCGGCATGGACTGATTCTTACACAAACAATGAAATATTTAATTCTTTCTCGACTTCCTTGAATTTTTAAACGGTTATATAATTCCTAACGCTCAAACCAAACCCCAAAAGCAGTCCAATTATGCTGGATATGTAATTATGTATAATGTATGTTCTCGAAAGATAAATCCAACAAAAAGAGAAACTCTTTAATATATCAAAGCCCCGCCATAGAAATTATCCTTTGCTACAACAGGCCTCTTAGATACTGCTAGAAAGACATCCTCTGCTTCAACTTCCTTGACCAATTTCAGCACGATATACTGACTGCCAAAAAATAAAAAGGATATCTGTCAACTCCCTTTTCTCAGTGAGTAAGATTCTTGAAACAAGCCTTTCCTTTCTATAGAGGAAGACAATCCTTTCTATCAACTCCTCTTAAAAGTAAAATTCCACATTATGCTAATATCCAAATAAACAGTCATTTGATGAAAAGGAAGCAACAGTAAACATACTAAAGGATAGTATATCTTTACATATTTAATACAGAATGTTAGTTTATCAAGAACACAGAAAAAAGGAAGAAACGAAATGAAATAAATAATTGCAGATTCCCATTCCTGAGTCACACTGCACGACCACTAATCAACAAATTACAGATACAAAATCGCTTCAGCCTCATTGCATTATGAGAAAACTAGTGATTCATGATAAATTTTGGGCACTGATCATCAATTGAGGTAGATTTGACACCAGATATACACTTCTGAAGAGAAATTCAATCCATTAAAGTAATGATCAAAATATAGGGTAAGGCAAGATATTGGGTACTCACTATTTCAACAAAATTAAACCCACCATGATGACAAAAAACCTGACTTTGTATATTCTAATTGAACAAATGTATTCCATGTGTATAAGTGTATGCAATTTTCTACGCTGCACGAATTGTGAAGGGAAAAATTCAGGAAACATTTTAGGGATTTTGTGAAATTTATTCAACTTTTGTATTAAGTGAATACAGCGTTCATGAGAACTAACCTAAATACGGATTTAATACTGTTCAATTTTACCAACAAGCACGTTGATTATTGAGGAAAATCAGTATATTGGGGTTTTTCTGAGTCTATGCTCACAAATCTTGTTTAATCGGGAGCCTAATCACCAATGAACTGAAATTTTAAACAAAAATGTTTACCAGTTACAAAGAAAATTCAGTTTTGATAAAAGAAACACGTTGATACAATTTTTATGGGTTACTAAGGCTTAGCTAAAGAAGACAAATAAACAGAATACAAAAATCCTTCGTTTTTTCAGGTTACATGATGATATACTGAGGCAAAACAACACCTAAAAGATAGATGAACAACTAACGATAGGCCCAAATTCAAAATAAATTGGTTTTGAGCAAAATTGATAGAGCAATGTCAAAATTTATCACTGTCAGTCACAAAGCATCAAAAGATAACTATGAAATAAACTAATCAAAAAATGAAAATTTTCATTTTCAGTGGAGAAACAAGAGCAGGGAAGAAGAAAACTGAGGACACCAACCTCGGCGATTATCAGTACAAACCCTAATCGTTAAGGCGGAACCCTAAATTCATTTCTGAAAGCCCTAATCTGTAAGCGAGAGATGAAAGGTTTTTAACCTGAAAAGGTTAAACGACTCCGTGGTTTATCGGAGCATGGAGCGTTTTTAAGGGCGAAATGTCGAAATTAGCCCTACTCTAATCCTTAATCAAGACGGTACCCTCCATACTAATAGGGTCGCTAAAATTGTGTTAGAAAAGTCATTAGGTTTACTAAAGTACCTCCACAATAATTTATCAGGCCTAAGCTTTATGAAAACAAAGTAAAGCATCGCCTCCAATCCTCGCCTGAAAAGCATGTTGGGCATCTCTATGATGATTCTAAAATTAATTTCCAATACCGACTGAAGCTCAGAAAATGATATAGTTTTTGCGGATTACCAATACTGACTAAAGCTCAGAAAATGATATAGTTAATGTGGATCTTTGAACATTTATTTTTAGGGCGAAATAGATGGTCTAGATAATGTGCTACAATATGTGATAATATTTGGAGCTTGCAATCCTAATTTATATTTTTCATAACCATGAGATGATCAATTTTAATTTTTTGTAATGCTAAGACTGCAATTTTTTGTGAGATTTGAGGTGAGGCTTATTTTGATAGTGTTGCAGCCCTATCACACCATTCTTATTATTTTTAAAAATGCCCAAATTACCTTATTTGTCTTCGTAATCTTGAACAAGTATGGGCATTTTAATAATTTAACTCCTCTAAGTGGCTCAAGCTCCATAATGAAAATATACTTATTCGTCGGGATTAAGATTAAAATCTCTTGTTCCTAATTCTTAAAACTAAATAAAGAAAAGCACTCATGTCTTTTTGGCATAGGCCAAGAAGGCACAAGCTAAATGATAGTGAACCCTCTTGGGAACCCCAAAGTTTTTATTTTGGGTAAGTAGGAACCCCAAAGTCATTTTCTTTTCATTGGATGTGCTTCATCGGCATCCTCACCTTACACGTGGAGCAATGATATAATTATTTTGCTTGAATTGAGTGGAGCCAAATGACATTGATATTATTGCTTATTTTAGGTTTTTAACCATGTACATACAATACAATTTAGTAGATATGCTCCCGAGGGAGCATAGTCTACTTGTTCTTTTAAATAAAGAAAATAACTTTCAAAATAAATATTTTTTTTTTTTATATACATTCCATAATATTTAACCAAAGTTTCACCAACAATCGGCATAAATCACTTGAATAGTGACATGCACTTTTAACAGTGATAAGGCTCCCCACCTGTTTTTATTAATAAAAATAAAAAAATACAACTCATCGTTTAACAACCCTACAATAAGGCAATTGTGCCAAATCACAAAGTAAAAAGACAAAAAAAAAAGCAATATGACTATGAACTATCACGCATAGCAAGAGCATGATGCCATGATATTATAAAAACGAAACACACGATCATTGCTCTTGGATCATTAACAAGAGGTTGTCTTCTTCGTAACTGGTAAGTAAAAACCTTTACTCATACTATGTTAGCAAAAGAAAGAACTCCATTGATGAATCATAGAGTATGATTTTTTGGGAGTTGAAGTAGGGAATAGAAGACTAGAGCATGCAACACAATGTCTCGGACTCTCAAAACTAAAAGAATCACGATTTTTACACTTGATTTGGCGTTGCCGCCATAATTTTTCCGTTTGAAAAATGATTACATAAGGTTGCAATCTTATACTACCGAAGTAAGGTGCGCCTCAAAAATCCTATATAAGTGTGCGTTGTGTAGTTGGAGAATCCTCCAATTGATCATCTCGACCTTGAGACATAGGGACATGAAGAAAAAAAAGAATTATAAATCCAAAATAGTGTCTTATGACAGCTTACCTGGACGGTATATTTTCAAGATATTCAAGTGTTTAGTAATTTGTTCAAACTATACCATTTTTTTAAATTTTAAATTTATAATTAAGTATAAAAATATATTTTCAAGCAATTATAAGGTTTTCGACTCTGAAATGACATCTCTGAGCAAATTTTAGATATACGGCTTACTGTCGAGTGTCAACTAATCAAAAGAGTGTCCATATATGAACTTCTGCTCCGTGAACCGTGTGATAAGAAATTTGCTACATCTCTCTCTCCAATCATGCAGTTCATGCTCTGGTCAATGCAGCAAATATTCAAAACCAGCAGGTTGAAAATGCATGCCTTGACCATTAATATTTCTTACATTGACTATCCCATACTTATCACCTTGGAGCATCCTCTTCCCCCACAAGATCCAAAATTTGATTAGAATGTTAGACTTTCTCCATCACAACAATGAAATCAAGCATTTTGTTGCAAAAGGTAGTGTAAACAAAGTCGTGAGACCACATATGGCGGTTGATGTCAGCCCAATGCTGTAAGGTCGAGGAAGTTGGTGACTTAATGACAGGGAGCTGGCGATCATAGCTTCGTGAATGGCGGCCATAACTGTAACCGTCCCAACGTAGCAAAATTCTTTGTCGAATAAGTTTCAACCCTCAAAAAAGACGTAAGTATCTGGTCTGTCTCGGAGTGAAGCTAAGTGAAATAGACATGTATGTAAAGACGCAACTACCTGCACCTAGATAGAAATACCCTATAAAGCTTTACACTAGCATGTTAGACTTTTTCCATCAATATAATGAAATCAAGCTTTCTTCGAGTGCCGGTCACATCATTCTCCTCCCGGTCCGAATTGAAAGACTATGGCTTTATCTATCAACTCCGTTAAATCCGTCAGATCCATGAGACTTGGAAAACAAACTTCAATCCCTTTCCTCAAGGCTCTGATACTACCTGAGAGAATTTGGTGAGTTACATCATAGTAGTATTTAAAATAATAGAAAATGGTAAGCTAGTCAAATGGGAAACATCATAGATATAGGCATTTTTCGAACTTGTTAAGCTAAAAAAAAGTAGTAGCGTGATAAGGAAAAAAGAAATGAGTAGTGTTTCAAAAAATGGACCGCCCAGCACTTGGGCACCCACCTAGGCGGATGTCCCTGGGCGCCCTCCTGAACCCGTTTAGGTGGTCGCCCAGGGTTGTGCCCCACCCAAGGGTGAAAATGCGGCTCTTTATGCATTAGAAGCTATCTTAGAGAGAGAAAACCTAAAAAAACTAAAATATTATACTAGGCCTCCAAGGTTATGGGTGCCCACCTAGGGGTTCGGCGGCCTGGACCCCCGGACCGCCTAGGTGCCGCCTAGTGCTATTTGAAACATTGGAAATGAGGATTAGAATGAGGGTATTTTTCGCCAAAAAATTCTAATTTTTTATTTAAGAGGTGGATGCAGGAATAAACTCTACCAGGTTAATAATGTAGTTTAAAAAGTATTAAGGGAAAAATGCTTTAAAAAATTACGGTCTAGAGGGTATCCATAATTTCTCTAATTTCTACTCATATTCTGTACCCAAATAATGCTATATCTCAAGTTCAATTTCTGCCACTAAACTATCAAAAATAAAAAGTAAAAAAATCTATGCACAACTAACTATCTACCTTTGTTTTACACATCAAGGATCAAGGATGTCTCGATTCCTCATCAAGATCATTATCACCATCATAGTTTTTTCTCAATTAATTAGGTTGGCTATACAAATTTTGATCTGTTGTTTTGTTCTATTAAAGGTCATACCCTGTAAGTCTTCATATCTTTTATCATTGCTTCCAACTATATCATTTTGAGCTTGCGTTTGCTATAATTGAAGCCTTCAATTGAAACTGACCTTCTAATAAATATTATACTATATTTGCACCGCACATAGCCAACCCACATAAAATTAGTGTCGCTCGTCTTTTGGCCAATCGGTAAAATTAGAGAAATGAAAGGGGCTCCTCACCAAAGTGTTTTGGTAAAATTGGAGAAATGAAAGGGGCTCCTCACCAAAGTGTTTTGGTAAAATTGGAGAAATGAAAGGGGTTCCAAGGTCATTTTCCTTCCATAAAACCTGGCCGCGAAATTCAACCCTAACTCTAGCCAAATACGGTGAAATTCGACTAAATGCACTCCAACTACAAAAGAGAGGGAGAGACGCCTTTATCTTTGAAGCGGCTCCCGACCTCTCTCTCTGGTTTTAGGGTTTCTTCTTATTATTCTTTCTGGTACGCCTCTACCCAGAGTCTCTTCTATCCTTTAAATATCCATATGCATTATCTGATAATATGATTCTGAATCTATTTATTGAGCTAATTGCAATGCATCAGATCTTATTATTCACATTGATGATTTATTCTGTATTTTTTACAAATTTTGAAACTTTTTTGTAGGCATTTGAATTGTTTGGTCTCCTGTTTTTATTTTTCCAAGTAGTTTGTGTTTCCTGTGTTTTTTTATTAGGTGAGGTGTATTTGATTATTTGTATTTTTTTTTCTTCTCTTATGCCTATCATCTATGGCGATGTTTACATTAGATTTTTCTGGATTAGGTCTCATGGTAGTTGATACAATAACATATTTTATATTTAAGTGATTTGTGAGGGTGGTGTAAATTCTAGACTGTTATCAGGTGATGCATGATTCCCATCTATTACTTGAATCCCTTTGTATCTACTCTAGTGGGTTTTAGAATGCTCTGGTAGAACTAGAGTCTGGAATTGTGCCATTCTCTTTTTGAGTGGCAAAACAAATCCATCGCCTTTTTGAGGGGGGAAATGATGCTTAAATGTGTTCATGATTATCTGTAGCAATGTTCAGAAATATTTGGCTTGGGCTGGGGACTTGGCTCCGCCCTATCCGAGGAACTTGGGTGAGTCCGAGTGGTCTGGCTCTAGGAGTGTACAGGGCAGAGCAGCCCTAAAAAAATAAAAATAAAGTTTGAAAGTTGTTTAAAAAATAAAAATTGAACTAAACGAAAAACACATAAACTCCAAATAATCTGGAGCAAAGCATATACAGCATGGATTTAGAGAAAAAATGATTTTCTGTTGGAGAAATTTCATAAAAATCCAAAAAAGAACAAAATAGAAAACTATGGCATGTGACAATAAAAACTCACAAATCATCATAAAAAATCCAAATTACATATTAAAGTATTTATATATGATTTCACAATTTTATGTGATTTTTATGATTTTTTAAATTTTTAAATTTTTAAACTGCCCTGAGTTTTACTCGAGCACAACGCTCGACAAGGTGCCAAGTCTGAGTAACTTGGCTCAGTCCTAGTTGACTCGGCAGAGTCGGTAGGTTGGATTAGTTTACTGGAGATAAGGTTTATACGTTGAATCAAAACACATTGAGTCTAACTTGGCCTTGCTCAAGTTAGTCGAACTTGGCAGGCTGCGGAGTCCGGAAGTGGAACCAAAACCATTGGGAACTGCCGAGTCTCATTGGTTCATTGTATTCTACAGTCCATTTTCTTGGTCTTGGCAGAGTCTCTGACAGACTTGCCCTAGTCCAGGTTTCCTAGGGCTTGGGACCCTGGCTAGTACGGACCCCTAACTCCTTGTTTCAAAACTTTGGCTTCTTAGAAAGAAGTAATGTTTTTCTATTCAATTCTAAGTTTTCATTTTTTATTGGATATATAGGGGATAGGTTTTGACAAATCATAGATAAATATAGAATTCATTTATTGTTTTCCATGAGTACTTAGAGAGCTCAAAACACTTGCTATCTCTGGAGATGCCCTCCCCCTAATCCGTCATTCTGTTTTTTTTTTATTAAATGTATCTAGTATTACTGTCTTTAGGCTGTCCTTGGATTTAAATCTCATTTCTTGTTTACTTGCTTACACATATGTTAAATCGTATGTATTAACAAGCATTTCTTCATAGTTCATGCACAATCATTTATTATATACACCCACATGTGTATATGTGAAAATAAACGCCTGTGTGTATGCTATGGTTATACATGCAGATGTGTCAATTTACATACATAAAAATTTATGTGTTTACAACAATGTGGGTACACATATCTACATGTTTATATTGATGGTACTTACATATTTATGCAGACAAATTTTATTTACATTTATTGGTCTTCCTTGTACGTGTATGCATATATACACGTTTAGACATGTGAATTATTTCACCTCACCCACCCCCCCGGCCCCCACCCAACAAAAACAACAACAACAACATAAAGAAAAAACCAAAATAAGAGAAGAAAAGGAAACCCGACAACCTACAAAAAGGAATTTATACATGCCAATCGTGTTCAGAATTACATGATAATGCATGAGTGGATGTGTGTATGTTTCTATGTTTAGAATGATGGTTATTAGTTTATTACAAATGCTTGTAATGAAATTTTGAGCTCCCTGTTTATTTTGTTCAATGCAGAAAAAACTATGGAGGTATTTGTCTTCATTGTTGTTTCGTGGGTTCTAGTTTTAGATCATGCATAATGCCCTAGTTTATTGTTGACTTACCTAGGGATGCCAGTTACATGCGTGACTGATGATATCCTTTATTTTGTCAATGTCAACTTGATCGTTTTTTTTTCTAATTTTTCTATTTCTGAAATAAGAAAAAACAAAACCTTCCAAACTGCCCTGATTTCCAAATAGTTTCTCCTTTTTTAATTGAACTGTAGTTTGAAGGGAATGTTGTAATATTGCTTTTATGTTATATGTTCATCAATATTGAATATTCATAATTGATATCAAGAATATAAATATTTAAACAGGGGCTATTAACTTTTAAGTATTTTTTATGGAAAATGTTTATATAATGTTGCAACCTTATACGATTGAAGTAAGGTGCACCTAAAAAATCATCCAAAAGACAGTGTTCTGATGTTGGAGAAACCTCTAAGTGATCATCTTGGCCTCAAGGTGTGTGGATGTGAAGAAAAAACAGAATTTCAAGTCTTTAAAATGGTGCATCTTGTTTTACGTTCTCTGGACCTTTTATTTTCAAGATTTTCAAGTATTTATAGATCTGCTCAATCTGTAGTACTTTGAAATTTAAAATTTCTTAATTAAGGATAAAAATAGATTTAAAGCCATTATAAGGTTTCAGGCACTGAAGCTGCATCTCCAAGAAAATTTTAGAGGTGCGCTTTACTTCTATGGTATAAGGAGGGCACCTTATAGAAACCTCACCCATTTTTTATTGGTTAGGTTTAGGTGCATCTTTCGAAATTGATATTGGAGATGGCTTGAGAAATGACAATTCTATGTCTATCATCTTAACCATCACAATCATGAATATGAAAAAATGAGTTTTTATCCTTGGAAAGGACAATTGGAGCCTTCTGGTTTTCACCATTCATTTCTATTATTTAAAGATCACTACATCTGTACTATTTTTGGAGCTCCTATTTCATGGATTTGAGGGGGAAATGAATATGCTGATATTTGGGGATGTCTTTCAAGTCCTAAATCAGGTGCCAAGGCAAACTCATGCATCCTAGGATGCATAGAACTCTTTTCCCTTATTTATTCAATCAAGGACATTTAAGTCATAGATATATAAAATTACAAATAAGTCATTGGAGTTGTAACAAAAGAAAAGGAAATTAATCCTTGCAATCGCACAGTACTGAGGCTGCGGTGATCTAGTTTACCAGTTGCCTAATCTCTTGAGTGCGAAAAGTAAAGGGGGATGCGCTTTGCAGCTTAAGCTGGTCATGCTTTGGCTGCCTGTAATGCCTGTACATTATTTAATTTTTTAAAATAATTGGGTCTACTTGTTTCTATTGGTCTGGTTCTCCACCAGCTGACTGCTCTTATAGGAAACACGAGTTTTCCGGGATCATGTTCAAGAAATACTCTTAGGTCTGCAGTATCAATTAAGCTTTAAAATTTGAATGGAAATGTCCAGATATGTTATGGGATTGTGGTTTTCTTATTGTTATATACATGCCTGTGATTGTTTTTTGAATTCCGTTGTTCTTTTACTCTGGCCAGGTTACGTTGGTGTATAGAGGGAAGAGCTAGCAATGGTTCTCAAGTATGTCTTCCACCACTCCTCTTCTTACACGTAGACCTGGGTCCAAATAAGTTTCTTCTTGGCTGCTGTCATCTTTGTACTAAACTAATATGGATCCTCGATGTTTTTTCGATTTTCAATCCCTGTATAGAATAAGAATTTGCCAGTTGATGAAACCAAACCGACAATATTTTTTTGTTGATTCTCTGGTTTCCTATTCTGTTTCCTTTTGGAATTTTCAGGACTGAGCTTTGCCGCTTTAGCGGTGCTAAGATATATCCAGGCCGGGGCATCCGATTCATTCGATCTGACTCTCAGGTAAATGCATGAACTTTTTGATATACGGCCACTGCATGTACCGTTATTATCGTATTTTATATTGTTTGCATGACTTCCTAAAAATGCTAATTGATTTCTATGTCTTGCAGGTGTTTCTGTTTGCTAATTCGAAATGCAAGCGCTACTTCCACAACCGCCTGAAGCCATCCAAGCTAACCTGGACAGCAATGTACAGGAAGCAACACAAGAAGGTTTGTGAATTTAGATATCATGGGGGCATCTTTGTGTTGGCTACTGTAGCACTGAGGTTATCTTTTATAATTATTAAAAAAGAAAAAAATGATATGAACATATTTTACATTTTAAATTTGTTTTAGAAATTTTTTCAGAAAACTATCTATGAAGGATTATAGCATGTTTACCGTTTCATTGTGAGAACACCATTAGTGTTTTTGTTTCGATAAGTGAATCACAGATTTTTTAAAAAAGAAAAAAAACTAAATCACATATAAGGCTCTCAAGGGCCTTCTCTCATTAACCAAATAGACTGATTTACAGATAATGAGGTTGATTTTATCACGTTTCACATTTGGCTATGCCACATCCCTGTTTTAATATTATCCATGGAAAAACATAATATTAATATTATTGAACTGTTCGCTACTTTGTATTGGCACCAATTTTGAGTGGTAATTTCATGTTGTTGAATGGTTATGTGATTGTTGCTTGAAGGATATCCATGCTGAGGCAGTAAAGAAGAGGAGACGCACAACCAAGAAGCCTTATTCAAGATCGATTGTTGGTGCCACTCTAGAGGTTATTCAGAAGAGAAGAACCGAGAAAGCTGAAGTTCGTGATGCCGCTAGGGAAGCAGCATTGCGGTATGATCCCCATTCCCTCCGAGTAGTTTTGTTCAATCAATGTTTTAAGCCCGGTGATCCGGATTTGGAATCGCTGATCTAGATGGGGAATAGGCTAAGGACCTTTAAGTTTATCCCCCACCCCAAAAAAAAAACCCTTGCTTTTTTTTCTTTGTTTAAGTTTATTTAATGTTTTCTTAGGCCCCCCGAAATCTACACTTCATAAACATCTATTTTTATTTTTATTTTTTTTTTAATTGTTTTTGGTTCGCTGATGTGGACTGATTTGGATCACGATTTAGCTATCTAACACGGGTATGTGTGGTGGACAATCCACCACACTGAATCGGGTTTTGAAATGGTGGGTTGAATTATTGCAACTATTTCAAGAGAACTATGAGAAGACTGATGTATTCAAGTTAGCACCTTTGCAGAACTGGTTTCTTTGCATATGAAGAAATTGGGTGAGATATATATATAGAAAAGAGGGGGTGAGGGGGTGGGGATTTGAAAGGGTGAGGGGGTGGGGATTTGAACATTCAACCAGAGAGAGAGAGTGGATGTATGCACGTGTTGAGAGAGAGTGTGTGTATTTGTGCGCGTGTGCTTGGATTGTGACGACTATGTGAAGAGACCTATACCAGGACTGACTCATTGAACTTGTCACCTTCATGAAACTTTCTTCTCTGCATATGACAAAAGTGAGTAAGATTTTTGATATTGTTTTTCTCAGTGAGATCAAGGAGAGGATAAAGAAGACCAAGGATGAGAAGAAGGCAAAGAAAGCTGAGACGTCAGCGAAGAGCCAGAAGACCCAGGTGAAGGGTAGCATGGCCAAGGCTCCTGCGCCCAGGGGTCCTAAGCTTGGAGGTGGTGGCGGAAAGAGATAAAGCTGCAACTTTTGGTGTTGCCGATATCTTTCAATTTTTGTTTCAATGTTTTTTCAATTTTCAATTTATAAGATACTTTGTCGAGGATATATGAGCAGTTTTGGATTTGGAGGTATAATGGCCAGATTGTTTATCATTTTATTTACTAGAATTTTCTTCGAGGGATTAGGCATAACTTTTGTGGCATTCATGCTGTCTTTGTACCTTAACATTGTTCTCACATTGATTTGTATGGCTTGTGTTGGGATCGTTGTTAATTTCAAAAGAAATTGACATAAGGAAAAACAGGAAGTATGAAAACTATAATAAAAGTTTGTTTTGCTACTAGAAAACTCTTATAAATTGTTCATCTAGACCTCAAGATGTCTGAAGATGAGGAAAAAAAAGATTTCAAGTCATAAAAATGAAGGAAATTCTAGACACTCTGCTTAACCCCGTTTTGTAGGCATGCTTTTCAAGACACTATAAATCCTAAAACTGCTCTTTTTGCACCGACTCTTAAGAGTGATGTCTCTTGCAATGTGTTTTCTGAATCATCCATTTTAAAAATTTATCACTGTTTCTGGATCTGGATCATCCATTTTAAGCAATTTTAATTATTTTTAGATTCAATCTGAAACATTTTTTAAGCTTTAAATTTCATAATTAATAGTGTAAATAGATTTGCATGCCATCTCGAGATTTTTTTGGCTCCAAAATTGCATCATCCGGTATAGTTTTGAAGGCAAAATTATGCATTATTAGTTATATTTTATTGATGGTTTCCAAGGTTTCTAAGGGTGAATGAACTAGTATTACTTACCTCTATGGGTAATTATGTAAGGGTGTAGTTTTTATGAGGTTGCAACCTTAAACAATCCAAATTAAGGTGCACCTCTAAATTTTATCATAACACGTAATCTTGATGTAAAAAATTCTTAGGATCATCTCAAAATCTATATTCATATCTAATTATAAAATTTTAAACTCCAAATATGGTTTAAATCAAGTAGATTGGTAAAAATATGAAAATCTTGAAAATAGACGGTTTAGATAATGTGTTATAAGATGCACTATTTCTAAGACTCAAAATCTTTATTTTCTCATATTTATATATCTCAGATGTCGAGATGAATTCGGCAGTGAAGTGTAGTGGGCTAAAGTATGAATGGTGAAGTAGTACAAGCGACTCTATTTTTGACTCCTAAATGGGGGGAAATAAGAATATCACTATTCCTTATAAATGGCTTGCCTAAATGCTCTTTCATATGCATTGCTCTCCTCCTGTGTGTTTCTCATTTGTAAACAAATTAAAACGAACCAAATTCTCACATTTACATGGGATAATTATATTATTTAATTAGGCTAAATATGGATGGAATTAATACTTTTAATTCTAAATTAACAAAAAGACAACTTTAAACTGTGAAAAGATTTTGTGAAGAATTCGATTTTCTAAGTTTGTATAAACTGACTACTAGTGATTTTAAAATCCTCTTAGACCGATTCAAAAGATTCGACTTGGATACTCCCAAATTGGCCTACATTTAACAAACAGAAATTGAAAGTGGAACAACAAATCATGAAAATTATGGACGGCTTTAGGTCTCAAAATTGTAGTTTTTGATCGATCTGACTTGAGCGATTCTATGTCGCAGAGGTGATTTTTAAATAAAAATTATACAATAAAACTATTTACTTCATAAACCGTTTCACTATTAGATTTGAAATAGGAAAGTTTATGGTGTGCCATTGAGTCTAATTATTTTGGTATTTATTTACACCCTTCCCTAATTATTTTTGTATTTCTTTTCAGGTATGATTTTATAAGAGAACTAGAAATTAGAAATGATTGTGAGCTTCTTGAGATGCTATATTATATTTGGGAAAAGTTTATATAGAGCCTACGCTCTAAACAATCAAATTAGAGCCTATCTCAAAAATTTCATTAGAAGAGGTTGTTTTGATGCTCAAAGATCCTCAAATTGATCATCTCGACATCAAGATGCATGGACTTGAGAAAAAAAAAGATTTCAAGTTTTAAAAATAGTGCATCTTGTAACACATTTTTTGACCGTCAATTTTTAAGTTATTCAAATTTTCATAGATTTGTTCGATCTACACTATTTTTTAAGCTTTAACTTTTATAATTAAAGATGAAAATATAATTTAAGGCTAGTAAAAAATTTCTAGTAAAACCACATTTCTCGACACTATTGAAGGTGGGCTTTAATTTGATTGTTTAGAGCCTCGGTTCTCTACAAACTGCGCCCATTATATTTTTATAATATTCAATCCCATTTCAAAATCACTACCAAACCCTGATCGAGATGGGAATTAGCGGATTTAGATCAAGAATCAGTAGAAATTAACTTGGTTCTATGTTGAAATCGGGAATCCGACAATCAAGATTCCTGGTTCCCATAAATTCTAGCTATTATTTTTTAAATTTATATATTTTTATTTACCTATTGAAATCGGTCATATCGTTGATCAGTATTGCTGATAACCATTACACACGGGCAATTATCATCATCACTGTCAAAAACTTTTCCAAGCTAATTGGGATCCTCTACATGAATCTAGATCCCTCATTCTACTATATTAAGGGTTATACCCATAGTTACGCCATATGGAGAATGTCCTAGCATAAACAGATGCTATAGGTTTAAGATTAATGATAAGTTTTGACAAAGTTTTATTGTCAGCTACCTACCTAATACAACCCAACTATTTTATTTAGGCACCATAAGGGTTAAGGAAAAATTTAAGGTCCTCATCCTTCTTAGACGTGCATTTCACACATAGGGGTGGCAAGGGACCTAACCAAACCAAACCTAGGACCTGATGGGTAAACTGGACCTTGGGTCCGGGTATGGATGCAATTTTTGGACCCAACGGGTCGGGCTAGGGTCCAAAACCTTGACCTAAATACTATTTGGGTCCGTATCTAGATTTGATCCATACTTGTAAACCGGTGGACATAAAATACTTTACTTTAAACCCTATTCGTATGGGTATCGGATCATATACAATAATAACTCATAATTATCTTTAGCTTTTATACAACAAATTAAACGATTTGAAATATAATGTTGGGTGATTGCGACCTTGTTGCCTATAATATAGGTATAAAAGAAAAGAGCAAAAACAAAATAAAAAAAAACTCCTAGTCATAAGATCGTAATGGACCAAACCAGACCCAAGACTTGATGGGTAAACCAGGGATCCGAATACTATTTGGGTTCGGGTCCGGGTCCAGCTGGACCGGACCCGAAGCCACCGTATTTTAAAACCATACTCTAGGCCGTTGAGAGGCGGGTTCTCTCTTTCAGCCTCCATGTTTGAGATGGTGGAGAAATTTATGAATATGATAAGGGATATTTAGGTCATTGTTGCTATATAGAATTACATATTGAAACAATAAAACTTAAAATTCTCTCGCTTCCCTTCAAGCTCTGCTCCAACGCAGTTTCTGATCCAGGTAAATTCCATCGAACCAAGGATTTTTTTTTTTAGTTTTGCAGGTTTTTGCCTCTAATTTAAATGGCGGAGCTCTCTGAAACGCTTTCATTTGATATATTTTTCTCTATTTTTATAGCTGTTTTCTAAAAATAACGGAGTCTTTTCGTAGGGTTTCTATCTCTCAAAATCCATTGCTTATTGCTATCGCTTCTTCCAGATCTATCAATTTTGTTTAATTAGTGGTGATGCTGTTTCTTTGAGGCCAAACCCTAAACTGATTGGCTTCCTAAGCGGTGACGGTTGTTCTTTGGAATTGGGCAATCGTTTATGTTCCTCTACTGAAAAATTAGATTCTGAACTGTGATTGTGTTTGAGCACCTCAGTTCAGGGTTAGTGGAGCAATTGTCATCATTCAGGTGTGTGTGTGTTTTGTGGGTAAACGTAATTCGATTGACTTCTCGATCAGTGACTGTTATTTTTTGGAGTTGGTCAATCCTTTTTTTTCTCCTTTCTGAATTGTTATTGTGTCTGAGCACCATAGCCCAGGATAATGAAGCAATTGTCTCAATCATCTGGTTAAGAGAGGGAGGGAGGGAGGGAAATTTGACATTGATGTTAGGAACTTATGCTTGCAGATTGTTCTGTTTTCCTTATAAATTGCAGATTGATCTTATTATTTTGCCTTGTGATGCCATAAAGCAACCAGTTCAATTGATTCAGCATAGATTTTTTCTTTTTTTTTTTTTTTTTTTTACAGAGAGACAAAATGGAGGGATCCATGGTCGTGTACACGACCTTGTTGTTTGTTGCGTTGAGTGTTTTACTGGCTTCATCCTTTGAAACCACTGCTCCTGCCTTTTTGTGGTCAAATCATCTTCATAGGTATGTGTCTTTTTCAGGTTTTATTTACTTTGTACTTGTTTGAGCTCCATTCTCTTGCATCATTTGTCTCTTTGTTATAAGTTGATCTTGCATGAATTCGAAAAGAGTTCTGGTGAATGAAAAATGTTTAAATTTAGTTGTAATGAATTGAGACTTGAATGGCCTTAGAAGAGTAGGATGTATTCCTGAATTTTGCTCTTCCATTGTGCTGTATAGAATCTCGTAATGTTTGATGCTCCTTTGATCATTAGCAGAGATGCTTGCTGCTTCTTTCTACATTTTTGTTTCGCAATTTTAATCAATATCCTGTTTCTTATTGTTTTTTTTAATTATTCGTTGAATCATTGCAAGAAACAGAAACTAGTGCACTGTAATCATATTTTCTAGTTCTAAAACAAAATCATTACTAAGTTGAATGACCTTCTACTTTTAATATTCGCCTAAATATGAAGAAAATTCTTGTGTAGATTTATTACAGCAAAATGATTCTTTTAAATTGTTGTAATTTACCTTGTTATTGTTTTTGGGGGATGTAGTCATTTCCTTTGTCTTTGCTTCTCTTTCACCAGCAATTTTCTTGGAGCCTTGGATGTCTTTATTTAGGAAAGCTTATTATCTCACATGCATAATGTGAAATTGCTAAAAATAAAAGGGAATTTGTGACATTCATGTAATATTTTTAGCTTTTATGGGTTCATAAGTCACATAGGAGGTTGAAGTAGATTCTAAGTGTAGGGGACAATTCTTTTGTGACGAAACCAAGTTTGATTCTAGTATGTGATTTACCCATGATTTGTGAATATAGTATGGTGTGTTCTGGGCTGCGTAATTCTTTCGAGGATCGTGCATCATTAGCATGAAGTGGTTAAAGATTGGTGATAGATGTGGGTAAGTTGCTTAAAGGTGGGAGTCCATGGATCATGGATCAACAAGTTGCTTAGTTCTTGACTGACGCCGTGGGTGCTTCCCCCTCTCTCTCTAAAAAAAGATGTAGGTGCGCTAAGATCTTAATCTGCTTATGTAGAATTAAGCAATTCTTTTGTAACTTGCTGACCTACGTACATGGAGAGTGGGGATAAAGTTGGAGTTCCCCTTAAGTGGTACGACTTTGATGATGAGAACCTTATCTAGGTCCTGTAACTGCCTCATACATTTGATCTCTCTCTTAAGTTTGTCAATCACCTTTCCAGAATTGCGATCGGTGAAATGGGGAAGAAAGATTACATAAGAGATTTGAAAACTAAAGTGGTTCTCTTTACTAATTGCTCTTTAGGAAAAGAGCCCGGCTTAAGTGGTTAGCGCTTGATGATTTGCAACGCTACGTCCTAGGCTCAATTCCTACAAAGGTTAGGGGCCCTCTCCCCACTATCTCACCTGAAAAAGAAAAAAACTAAAGGGGTCTCGAAATGGGTACACCTAACTTTGTCGACGGGTTGGTGGAACAAGCAAGTCCACAATGAATGTCAAAGACAGTTGTTGGAAGAAGCAAGGAGTCTACAAGGGACTTCTAGGTTAGGTAGAGGGATTGTATGAGGGTGTAGGATAAAGGATGCATAGCAGGAGGGGATCTTTTTCTTTAATGTTTGGGAGATGGTCTGCATGGATGTGTGTGACTCCCATCTACCATGGGCACCAAGAAACTCAATTCTTGCTGTAGCTCAGGAGGCAATTTGGGCCAGTTGGAGATCAGTGGCATTTTTTTATTATGCTTGTCTGCCATTCTCTTGCCCTAAAGGGTTCTCTTTGAAGCTTACGAAACTCTGAGACCCTAGTGCTCCTAACTGGCATTGGATTACACAAACAAGAGTGGAGTAATCTTATTGTTGAAGGTGATTCAAAAAAAGTGATTTACTGGGGGAACAAAGAATTGAAGCCCTTGGAGATTATCTCATCTCTTTGATAAAATTTTGATTTATGTATGAGTTCTTGAGTTTCGTTTTATACATAGATGTTGTAAAGCGAAAGCATTAGCGTATTCTTTATCAAAAGAAGGCATCGGGAGGTCACACATAATTGTAGTTTGTATAGACTACAGAGAAACCCCCTCCTCTCCCTTTTCTTTTGGCAGGATAGATTTTGTATCCACACAGGCTGTTTATACCCTCATACGTATACATCTCATGCATTGCCATGAAGCAAAGTTAACCATCAAAAGAGAGAGGAGGGGGGTGGGGGGGGTAAGGTAACTGTCAATAGCCACTTTTTTTTGTACATTTTTATACAATTGACAACTTATTACTTCTGAAGGCAAGGGGCATTTTTTGTTTGTGTTGTGCTTTAGTAAATGCTAGCAAAAGGTTCTCAAGTTAACTGGAAAGCAGAGGTATGTGTACATTACCAATACATTGGTGCATCTTCATTTGTACCGGAAGAAAAAAACATTTTGATATGCCTCGTAATATGTCGAATATTTTTGGAGGTATTTATGTTTGATTTACAGTAGATTAATAACATGGTTCTTTTTACAATTTGCCCCCAAAAAAGAAAAAATATCGATACAAAAGGGAAAAAAATTTAAAAACAAGGTAAAAATTTTCAATTTTGGATTTTTATGGTGTCTGATTATCTCATTAAACGTGAGTATGTTCATGTGGTTAATTTTCCTGTATTTGCCAATGGTCAGTATTCTATGGTCTTCTTCTTCTTGCTTTCCTTCATGCGTTAGCTTATTATGCTACCCAGTTGCTTTTGAGTATGTTTCTTTAATCGACTTTTATTTGGTTTTCTACTTTAGCTTCTAATATGTTGTGTTAGAAATCTATAATGTATTCTTTCTAGCGAGCTATTTAGCTTGGGTCTCCCTTTTCATGGCGTCTTATTTTTAAGAAATTAAAAGGATTGAATCATTTCATATGAGCTTTCCAAGTTAACATCTACCGAGAATGAGTTCTGCAATGATAAAATCATGTACTGCATTTTACTATTCTCTTGCTGCTGGCAACGTAAGAGCCATGTGGAATGGTCTGTACTTTGTGATGCCGTATCAAGTATCCCTATGTTGCTGCAGATCATCATCACTTGGAGGCAAGGAAATTGTGGATTATCACACCATTTCCATGAAGGGTTTAGCAAAATCTGTTATGTCTGAGGGAGGCTGGTCGAACTTAATGGTAATGTGTACAAACTTGTGCTCAGGCAGGTTGCTTATGTGGATAATAAATAACTTTATTTGATGTTGTGCACACACACAGTAAAGAACATCCAAACAAACTGTACATACATGTGTTCATGCGTCATTTTTCTCTGGTGATTAAAATAGAGAAGTATTACATACTTGACTTAAACTACATAATTGAATCTCTCATAATGGGTGTATTCTGTAGTGCTCTGGCAGAAATCAGGATGAGTCTGTTGATATTGCTCTTGTTTTCATTGGCAGAAAGGTATGGATCTATCGAATGGTAGTTACTTTTTTTCCCTCTAGATAATTCTTTTGTCCCATTCACACTGTATGTGCAACTCTCCGCTCTCTCTTGGAAGCTGCCCATGAGTAGTTTTGAGAAACATCCTTAGCCTGATGTATCATGGCTGATGTTTCGTTTACTTAGATTCACATACTGCAAGCTTCCTAAGGCATTAGTTAATAGAATTTTATTGATATTAAAGCTTTTGACAGGATGCATCAATACTCCATTTCTATGTCGTATACTCAGAAATGCACCTTCCCATTTATTTTACCCTCTCCATACCAAGAAATGCATGCTATGTGTTTTACAATGCTTGCTAATAATAGTACATGGGCCTTTGTTCTTTGCATGGCTGCAGTTCCAAATGATCGGCACGTTGTACTTAGGCTCAGCCAGTGCGAAGAAAACCATCACTTTGCACCAGTAAATAGCTAGTTTATTCAAAAGATATCTATCCAAAATCTCCTGAGCTGAGCTAAGCAGTAGAGCAGTCAGCAGTGCAAGTAATTGTTTTACAGCCTTTCTTTAATTTGCGTACTAAATTAGTGACTGAATAATTTTCTTCTACAGTTGAGATCTTCAGATATCTCTAGGACTAAACATACTGACTCAGCTCTTGTAGAGTTGCTCAAGGTAATTGACATACTTCAAATAATATGTACATCTTCCTGGATTTTCTCTCTTCTTTTTTTTTTTTTTCCCTTTTTCAATTGTCGATGGTTCAATGCTTTCCTGTCAGGTCTCATTCACAGAGTCAAATTTCTCCATGGCATTCCCTTATGTTGATGTGTCAGAGGAAAATGAGACATTGGAAAATTCCTTGATATCTGGGTTTCTTGAGAATTGTGAACATGGCTTGGAAGTGAGTGAAGTTGCTCTTCTAGGGTCGTGCTCCATTTGGGGTAAAGATCTCAAGAAATTTGTAGAGGTCAACTCAGTCAAGGTTAGTCTATTCTCTTTCTGTGTTGCCATCTGTAGTCGTTGTCTTCGAGTTTTCTATGGTAAATTCTGATGTTAATCAAATATTTCAGAATTATGTAAGTTCAAGGATGGAAACAAGGCAAAAAGGCAAAACTGATTTGATAGTAATCTGTGATGAGGATTCAATCTCTTCTGAAGAGTTTGGACTGGATAATACAGAAGGTATTTATGCTCCGTTAACCTTATTCCATGTTCATTATGCTCTCCATACCTGGATAATAGTCATGAATCATCTCATACTTCGGGCTTTTTACCTATGATTTGCAGGGAAGCTTTTAGCAGAGGTCATTGACAAAGTGAAGGAGTCTGGTGCCACGCACACTGTTTTGTATGCTTCAGACCCACGTAAGTCTTTGCTTCAATCTGGACACAGGGATTTGGGAAGATTTCTTGCTGAAAGTGCCATTGGAAATGCTTCCAATTCGACTTGTGATAGTGTTTGTCAGATCAAATCATCACTTCTAGAAGGTGTTTTTGTGGTGAGTTCCTCAATTCTCGTTTGGATCATTCTAAGAATTTATGCTAATTGATTCACGTTTTTGGCTAGATAAGGATATCATCAATTTGGTTAATTCAATTGCAACATAAAAACAAGTACTAGTTCTGATGTTATGTAAATAGAGAATTCTAGTGAAGGAATTAATTCAATGGTAGATGAAACATACCTGCCATGGCATAGATTTGTAGTGCTCAACCATCATTCGTAACTCTCCCTTTGTACCTTTTTTTTAAAAAATTCAATTGTAAGTATATGAACTATTGTCTCTGGAAAGAACAATCCGAGGATTGCTAACCTATAAGTGAAGCAACTGGCCTCTTGAATCCTTCAATATCTGAGAATATCACTATTAAACCCTAAACCCAGAATGCTTGATCCTTTGCATTCTAACCAATTCCAGAGGTGTTAAATGTATATTCTATCATAAAGCTTTAATTTGATTTGAGTTGTATTTTTGTTACAGGCAATCGTACTCCTCATAATTTTGATTTCGGGTCTGTGCTGTATGATGGGTATCCAAACACCCACCAGGTTTGAGACTCCTCAGGAATCCTGAAATGCTAAAGGAAACACATGATGCACATTTTAACTCTATTAGAACCCAATGCTTTATATTAAACCAGAGACTACTGGGCCTTCAGAATTGGAAGCTTTCTGCTTAGAGAAGTTAAAAGAGTCACTCATTTTCATGCTTCTTTCTTCTTCGTTTTTTTTTTTGGCTTTTCCTTTCCCCCCATCATTTCTATGTAATTCTACAAAAATAACCATCCATGAAGAGTAGATGTGCTGTCCCTTCATTGTTTTATGCATCCCTCTTCAAGGAGTGTATGTGGGTATAATGTATCATGCAAACTTCACTTTTGACTGTTATTTTCCTGTTGGGTGTTGTGATATTATCACAATATTATTGTTTGGGAATGCATCTTTTAGCAATTTATTTGGTTTACCCTTCTGGTTCTCAGCCTTTGGCACATTCCTTTTGGTGGGATATGAAGGTTGCAACCATGCCATTTTTTGTCTACGAAATGTCCAAGTGGAGAGAGAGAGAGAGAGAGAGAGAGAGAGAGAGAGTAGTTACTTACTAGTAGTAGTGTAGTAGTTAGTAGTAACGTAACTAACGTACGACGTATTAAGTTAGTAGTAGTACGTTTATTTTAATTAACGTTAAAGTTAAATTAGTAAGTACGTACGTACGTACGTA